CCCATCACCAAATCACCCCTGTGCCACCACCATAGTCCCGTGCATTTCCCTCCCTTCCCCCCCCATTACAAATAAATAAATCTTTAAAAAAAAAAAAGCCATTTTGCCTCTTTCTGAAGATTCTCCTTTCCTGTCCTTGGAGACTATTATCTTACTTTCATAGTCATTATGCATTATCTCATTTTTAATATCTAACTTATACTCATGAAAGCATCTATACTATAATATCCACTACATAGCTTAAATCCTTAATCACTTGCCACTGAAGTATTCTCCAAACTTGACATGAGAGCAAATGTTACTAGTCAAATACAATCTTGCTCTCTGTTTTATATGGACGCTCCCATTAGTGATTCTGCTTTTATTCTTGTTTACTATTTTTTTATACTTCTACTACATGAACATCTTTAGTACTTCCTTCTTTCTCTTCTGCAAATTCTCCCAAGCTTCATTCTTAATGTCTCTGGAGTAGTTACTAAACTACTCTGAGACTCCTCAGCTTCATTTAACCAAATAACAAATGGTGTTTTCCACACATTAATAAATTCTCCTTGGATATCGAATGCATATCCATCTTGCCCAGAAACTGGCAATCAGGAAGAAAGCAGGGGTGTCTCTTGTTCTTAAATATGATTCATGTATCCAATTAGCTATTATCACATGAGTAATTAAAAGTTCTTTCACCATGGTTAAGCAGAAAAAGAAAACTGAAAAATAATTTTCCTTGACGACTGTAAGATACATTTTAATGTCTGAACCAATTAACTTCATATAAAACCAATTTCCCCTCCATCATAGCTTGTGTCCCCTGTCCCTTTCCTTCCCCCTCTTTTTCACCTCAGACCCTCAGGATGATTACTGATGACCACTAGTTTTGGAAAGTGTTTCATATTGCTGAGCTGTCTCTATGTAAATGTGCAATATATTTTCTTCATTGTGTCTGACTTACTTTGCTGCACAGAAATTCAGTAACCAGTTACAAGGGCTCTTGATAGACTCTTACCAACCTACTACACTTATTGTACACAAAATAAAATATTAAGTTAGGATAAAATAAGTGCTAAGAATAAACAATAATTTAGAGCTTGCTTTATTCAAGGTATATAAAAATATATTCTCAAAAATAAATTCTCTCATAATGCTTATTTAAAAGCAGTAAATTTTCACAATTTACTATCAAGTTAATCCAGTGCCCTGAATTAAACTGTTCGAACAAACATAAAACTATATAGACATATATATACATATATACAGAGATTCTCAAGAGCTTCATTTTAAAACTACAAAATTTATATTGCATATTCAAAAGTTATCAACAAGATGTGATATAAATTTTCCTCACACTATAACTTGGGTCATTAACACACACACATTACTTATATTTATAAATTATAAGTAATTTAATTATTTCTCAATGTATTAGACATTTTGTAAAATTCCTTTGTATAAGAAGTTCCTTGAAGGCAGGAACTATGTTCTGTTTGACTTTGAATATCCCACTCCTAGCATAGTGCCTGGTATACAGTAAGTATGTACGACATTTGCACTGTATGAATAAATAAACAAAGTGTCCTACTACAAAACTAAGTTCTGGATCTTGAGAAGAGTCCCTGTAGGTCTTAAAATAAATGAGATATACCTTTGAATTATATTCTACAAGCAAGAATTAATCAAGCATTCCTTTTATGTGATAATCCAAATCTGTATATATGTTTATACCCTAAGAGAACTACAGCAGTTTTCTAAGAACAGAAAATTTGCACTAATTTACTAGTTTTTTTAATTTTGTGAAATAGTTATTTTTTTATTTTATAAGTTTATTTTTACATCATTTTGTACATTTTTTTTTCATCTCAATTGTAATCCCCGCGTGTTTCCCATCACCAAGTCACCCGTGTGCCATCACCATAGTCCCGTGCACTTCCCTCCCCACCCCACCCCCCCGAGCTCCCGTTTTTGATCCCATTCCCCACTCCACCTCCACAAAATGTCTCTGGTATATGGCTGTTCATTATTCTTATTATTTTCTCGCCTGGTCCATTATACTCCTGCTATGAGTGAAACCATCTGGTATTTTTCTTTCTCTTTCTGGCTTATCTCACTAAGCATGATCTTTTCCAGCTCCATCCAAGTTGTTGCAAAAGACATGTGTTTCTTTTTTTTTGGTTGCTGAGTAATATTCCATTGTATATATGTACCACATCCATTGTATATATGTACCACATCTTTTTAATTAAGTCATCTACTTTTGGGCATTTGGGCTGCTTCCATGTTTTTCCAATTAATTACTACTTATATTTTAATTTCCCCCTAACACTAGCTGAATATTGGTAATAGTACTTTTTGTTTCCTCCACTACCTCATGGCCCAAAAGTTCTGCTGAAGCACTGAACTATAATTTATCAGTGGTAATACAAGCATACTCCTGAGTTTCATTTACATAAGCCTAATTATAGGTATCTAAATAAATCACATTAAGTATAAATTAAGATTCATCTAGCTTTTCTTACATAATTTCATAGCAGATTTTCAAATTTTGGGTGTTATACTAAGACAATGAGATAAAAGACAGTGAGAGCTAGCACTCAGCTTCTTCCTTTTGCTCAAACATTTTACTCTAGTTACCTAAGGGCAAGGGCTTGTACCTTCTATGTGCTTGCCCACAATTCTTAGCAGTGTTCTACACACAGCAAATGCATGCTATGTGAACTATATAAAGCCTGATCTATATAGAAGTTATTAATGTGGAACCTCAAAATTATTTGTTTCTTTACTCTCCCAAATCTATATCTACTCAAATGTTAAATTTTCATACCTGCCATAGTCTGCAAATCCACAACACCAAGTCTTAATTCAGGACCTACTCATTCCGTATCATTTTTCTGCCTTCCCTGGTTCTAACTTATTAGGAATTAACTTGTAGGTAGGGATACAAAATAACTCAAAATAACAACTACTCTATAGAGTACTTATTGAATGTGTGTTCTAATATTGTATGCATTGCCCTATGTCCTTTGCAATTTAACTCATTCAGACCTTCACGATATAATGATCCTATCAAGAAGGTATTAACATCATAAATAAGGGACCTCCCTGGTGGTCTAGGGTTAAGTTTCAACTTTGGGGTGTTATGGCAACATAACCTATCACCACTATGACCTGAATTCAATCCCTGACCAGGGAACTAACCCACATATGGAGCAGCTGGACCTCTCCAATCTTATCTGTGGCTTCCCTTATAAGTGTATTTCTGGGCCCTCCCTCGTGGCTCAGTGGGCTAAAGTACAGTACTAAGAAGCTAAAGCCACTTCCGCATGAGTTCGATCCCTGCCTGCCTTAGAGGTGATCCACATGGCACAGCAGACCTCTCCTGACCCGCTGGCTGCTCCCCTCAGCAATGTACTTCGTCAATCTGCCTGTTCAGCTCCCCGCTCTGTCTCTGGTGAATCCTCTCACCGCCCCTGCACCTCTGGCCTGTACACCAGGTCTTCTATGCAAAAATTAAAAAGAAAAAAAAAATCACAAATAAGAGGAAGCTAAAGCATAAAGAAATTTCCTATTTCGTAAGTCACATATAAGTGAGGAAGCATTCGAACTCAACTTGACCAAAGTCTATTTTCTTAGTATCCACACTACACAGTATCATTATTAAATTATGGAGAAAATTATTTAATAATTTTAAACATTACAATGACTCCCCCTCCACTCTAAAAAATCAAAAAGAATGATAAAATCTTTGAGAAAATTCAAGAGTATTAAATAGATGGTTATGATGATAGTTATGATGGCTTAAAAAAAAGGCTAAACAAGCTCTGACAGTTTTATAATTTAGTCCTGCTTTGTCTCATTCTGTACATTTGAAGCTGACTCAAATTTAAAGATGCCTACTGTGACAATTTAGCAATTCAAAATACATTTAAGATGTACTGGTCTAATGGAGTTGGAATAAGGAGAAAGTGAAACTTGTTAGAAATATAACTATAATAAAGGCTTATAAAAAGCCTCAGACTGTTAAAAAGACCACCCAGAAGAAAGGGACTTGTACAAAACTGACCTTTCACTTAGCAGTTCTCAGATTCTGATAACAATTTACAAATGCCTGAGAAGTACCTGTAAAACTTTAGCATTTGGTTGAAGAGGTTTAATGATCAGTTGCTTGCCTGCAGTATAAAGAACTTTTTCAGAATCAGGGCCCCACGCTACTGAATACACTGGTGCTCCTGTAAAAGAAAAAGAAAAAAACAAAACAAAACTGGGCAACTTTGTTACAAAAAGGGAAACTGCTAAGAGGATCAAAAAAGCAACATGGGTTATCATTTCATTTCTTCCATATCAACGATCTTTTCAAAATACAGTACAACCTGATACTGAAATTCAGACTTACTTAATATTGATCATTGAAAATCTACTGTGTGTAACCAACAAATTGTATTTTTAACTAATCTTCTCCTTGATGAGAAAATATGTAGATTTTAGGAATTCAACATAGTACATTATTAAAATACATAAAATTACTTCATTACTTTAGATATAAAAACAAATTCAAAAATTTATGATTTATCATTTCCTATCAAGAGACAGTATTTAAATTGACTCAATGCATAAACTGACTTAAATTTTCCATACAAAAATGCACATGTTTACTCAACTTATAGAGTAATTCCCACTCCTGATGCTTCTATAGGTAATAGAAATGTCCCATCATCTGTTGCTTAACCAGTAATGTAATGGATAAAAATCCCAAGTGACCTATCCCTTTCATTTGTGAATTTATAAATGGCAAATAAGAGATCAGATTAAGGAAAGTTCTGTTACCTGTCAAGTGTAACTTCTGACTGAGAGTCAGACTAAAACAGGTTCAAATATCCTATAAGTAGAATAAGGTTGATTTCATTTCCAGACAGAGATATTGATTTGCTTATCACCTATAAATTAAATTAATAATTTTCAATTTTCTAGGGTAGGAATTTAAAGATGATTTTTTTTTTTTTTAGCTCAGTTGCTTCCTTGGAGAATGATATGTTAAGTTTAATATTTTAAACTTAACACTGAAAGGGCTCTCCCTGGTGGCGCAACAGGTTAAAGCACCGCACTATGAAGCTCTCTGAAGCAGCTGCAGCACAAGTTTGATACCCAGCCAGGGAGTTGATCCACATGGTATGGCAAGATAGACCTCTGCTATCTTGCCTACTGCTTCCCTCAGCAGTGTATTTCAGTCAGTCTGCCTATCTACTCCCCACTCTGTCTCTGGTGAACCCTCTCACCCACCACACCCCTGGTCAGTCCCCCAGTTCTGTAAGCATAAATAATCTTTAAAAAAAAAAATTCATCAAAAACATTAAATTACTTGCTCCCCCCACCCACCCCAGGTAAGGTAACTATCTGATCTAATTAACTATTCATTAGAAAAATGAATCAAGATTTAAAATTCATCTATTAGGCCCTCCCTGGTGGCCCAGCAGGTTAAAGCACAGCACTGAGAAGCTAAAGCCACTTCCGAATGAGTTCGATTCCCACCTGCCCCGGAGGTGACCGCATGGCAAGGCAGTCCTCTCCTGACCTGCCCGCTGCTCCCCTCAGCAGTATACTTCGTCGATCTGCCTGTTCTGCTCCCCACTCTGTCTCTGGTGAAGCCTCTCGCCAACCCTGAGCCTCTGGCCTGTACCCCAGTTCTGTATGTACAAATAAATAAATCTTTAAAACAAACAAACATTCATCTATTAAATATAAATCAATTGATACTTATAAAGTCAGTTTTTAAAAAATATCTAGGACTCCTAAATTAGATTATCATAACATTTGACTTTCTGTGAAAGAGTGAATTGCTCAGGAATTTACATTCTTAGTAAAATGAAATCAACCTAAGGATTTATAGGAAATTGATAATATTAATTATTTACTTAAATGAAAACACAACTGTTGCTGATCAATAGGAAGTAATCAATAATGAAGAGGGAGTAAACTTCAGTAAGATAAATGCTTATATGCAAGAGGCACCCAAATCCTTTTGTGCAGTTTTCTTCCCAACTGTAAATTAGGTATAATTTACAGGCTTTAAAAGTCTGGTTTAGGGCCCTCCCTGGTGGCGCAGCGGGTTAAAGCACTGCACAAAGAAGCTTAAGCCACTTCTGCATGAGTTCGATCCCCGTCTGCCCCAGAGGAGATCCACATGGCGCGGCAGACCTCTCCTGGCCCGCCCGCTGCTCCCCTCAGCAGTGTACTTCGTCGATCTGCCTGTTCTGCTCCCCACTCTGTCCCTGGTGAATACTCTCATCCTCCGCATCTCTGGCCTGTACCCCAGTTCTGTATGAATAAATAAATAAATCTAAAAAAAAAAAAAGTCTGGTTTAGACCAAGTCCGAAAAAAATCCAAAAGCATGTCTTCCACATTTGAGTTTAGATATACTGGGTCTACACTCCCTGTTCAGTCAGTCCTGTTTAGTCATCGAGATAGAAGTACGGCAGAGGAACCTACAGATCTAATGAGAAGGCGATGCTCAGAAGGTACTCTTTGGGACTGGTAAGTACATTCTCTTGGAATACTCACTAAGCATAGCTTCAAAAGTAAACCTCCAAATGAACAGAGTTCAGCAATAATATGCTCAAAAATATAAATCAAAATTTCAGATATTTCAAATGTGGTACTTAATGAGGACTGGAAAGGAAGGGAGAGGAAAGCTTATATGATAGGAAGTAGAATTACAGAATTATACTATTCTTTTCCCATTATCAGAGTTGTAATTACTGTGCAAAAAAGTAAATCAGTATATTTCAACTACAGACTATCAAATAATCATGAATATACTCAACATACACTTTCCTAAGATGTATACTATACTCAACATACACTTTCCTAAGATGTATACTAAACTATGACAAATATCGACCCTCAAGGAAATAATTCAGTAAATACAGCTCCCATTGAATTATACAGGAAGTGCCTTTGGCTCTTTAGCTGTGGTAAAGGGCGGGGCTGGGCTATAGGATGAAGAACTAGGGATGATTTTTTCCTCTTTAAAAATGAATTTGTGGTTCCATTAAGTCAGCTTTGTACTAATCTTCCTTTGAGACATAATTATTTATTTCCTATTTATAAAACAATTTTTTAAACAATATAATGTTAAAGAAACAGGTAAAATAACAGTATAAAACAAAATAAACTTATGGAGGAAAATTAAATATTTCATTTGCCATAACATGTAATTTTCAAACACAGTCCTTCAATCAAAAAACAAATGTGGAGTTAAGATAAACAACTCCACATAAGATCAACAGATGTCGTGTTATTATCAGCTCAGCCTTCCTAACCATTAATACTCAAAATGGATATAACATCAAGAATTAGAGATGGTCTTCAGCATAGCTATCCCCTATAGCTTATAATAAAGTATAAAGTCTGAAACTACCGTATGTCTGAATGTTTTCTTTTCAATAAGAGGTATACTACTTAGCTATACAACTTCCAGCATAATGATTCAAATAAAAGTCATTATTGAAAGTGGAAGAAATATATCTCACTAACATTTGAAACAAAGCCATAATATTTAAATGTCTTTAAAAACATATTTGTTAAAGCACTGAATTACTTTCAATGTTATACTTCACTTTGCAAAGTATGGAAAAAACAAATTTAGTCTCCAGACTGAATAACTTTAAAACAAAAAAGATTAGTCAGTAGTTTATGTAACAAGATGTTATTTATTTCATTATTAACAAAAAAAATGAATAAAAACAAAAATTGCTTCACATAATTAAGTAATTTCTTGCTTTTTACATTGGGAATTTTAATTTATACTCCATTTCAGTTAAGACACTCAAAAGACCTTGTTTTTCTGACTTTGTACACTAAGATCATGTGACCTATTTGACATTTTTTAAGAAACCACATGCACCTGGGGTTGTGTTAAATGTCAGACCCTTATCTCTCTGTAAAACAAATTATCTAAATTCTTTCAACCTGTTGAAGGCAATTTAAACCACAGAAGAGGAGACAAAATGTATTTCAATTGTTTTAAGGAAGTACATGGTCAAATATACCATGTTTTTCAGATTCATACTAAAAAGTATCCCCTAAAAATATTGTTTTTAAGCATGTTTTTAAGAATGCTTTTGAACAAACTTCATTATTATGATGAAATGTTAGCCATCTTTGCTTAGAATGCAACAGAGGTCTTCACTGAGTGAGTGTAAGTATTTTTATTAGGATCTGGGCTATGTAAGCACTATTGTTAGCTTATACTACTAGAAACTACTTTATAGTGCAATAAACAACCATTTATTTATCGTATTGTTCATGATTGTAGGGACCTTTTTTTTTGCCAAACCATTAAGAATTCAAAAACCAAGAATTATTTCCTGTTTATTCTATTTGTAGGAAAATGTACTACCAGTAAATAATCAAATGGTATTTATTCCACAAAAAGCAATCTTGGATTTTGTATATCCCTGGAGCAGTACAAAGAAATAGTTTAAATGAGGCATTCATTTCTCAATCATCTCTCCCTTGGGGAATTTCAACTCCCCTGTTGCTTTAAATTTCACTGTTCTCTCACGGACTTGCACATTAATATTTCAGCCTTTATCTTTGATTTCTAACACCATTATTTCCACTTGCCCCAAATACTTCTCTAGGCCAAAACTATGAATTCTATATATTCAAAATTAGCCTCCCTTCACACATATTCCCCTCATTTATTCTTCCCTCTGAATTCTTCACCTTAAAGGTATTCATTCCTCTCAGCCACTGAAAATTATTATTCACTTTTGCCAACTACCATCATCATTATCTGAGCAAGCCATAATACACCTTACTAGCAAGAACATTTCAGTGACTTTCTCACTGGCTGTAGGATAAATGAATTAATCAGGCTTTTTAAGCCACTACCTTCTGCAGCTATCACCTGAAAACCCTAGGGGAGTGGGAGTGGGGGGTTGGGGATGATGCTCATGCCTGATTGTGGGCACCTAAAGCATGGGTGTGGGCATGCGTGAGTGTGCACACCTCAGCCTAGAGGCCAGGGATGTAAGGGCAATGTCACTCAGAGATGGACAACAGCTACAAGAGGATGAGTTGTGTGACTACACAAGAGGCAAGGCCATGAGATGAAATGAAAGAGAATGCCAGAGAGAGCCCACAGGGCCAGGGAGGGCTGGTTTCTTCCCGAGCTTCCCAGTCTGCCTGGCTTGCCTTGCCAGCCTGCAGTCTTGTCACTACACTGCT